CGGTTTCATTACGGGGCACGGAATTTGTTGTTCTGCATTTGATTTCCGCAGTAGAATTCGCTCGAATTGTTTATTCCTTTAATCATCATTTTTCATGATAAAAATTTCTCGAAAATTGAAACATATGCGCGAAACAATTGATTTTTAATTGAATTCTTTTAAATTGTGAAATTTTACTTTTCAATCTGCGCTTGAATTGAAATTAAACGATCATGAATATGCTCGTTAAATAAAGTAAAATTTAATTGTATTGATTAAAAATTGGCTGAAATATCCCTGAATACCAGCAATAATCTATTTGAAACTCGATTAAACTCTATTAAACGTAAAAATACTTCGGACCGCTGCAACTCTGAAAATAGTGACTTCCGGTGAACGAATAAATGGTCGTTAGAAGCGCGGAACCTTGCTCTTTAAAATGCTTTCTCATTTATTTCGATATCACTTCCGGTTCCCGAGATATCATCGTGTAAATGAAAGGCTAATTTCTGATCGTTTGCCTTAAACCCGATTAAATGTTATTAAAATTAGGAAAACTTTGAACCGCTATAACTCCGAAAATAATGACTTCCGGTCAACGAATGAACGACCGTTAGAAGCGCTGAACCTTGCTCTTTAAAACGCCATTTCATTTATCCCGATACGACTTCCGGTTCCCGAGATATCGTCGTGTAAAGCAAACGGTAATTTTTTAATCGGTCACTATTTCTCTCCTTATCGCTCATTCGGACCTCTCGCTCGCACCTCCTTTCACTGACCTATCTCAAACTCGAGACAAGCGACAGACGCGATTCCTGGAAAAACGTAGTACGCGCTTCTAAAATATGTAGGTCGATAGATGGCGCCACCATTCATATCTCCTGCTCTATGTTAAAACACCATGGACACTTTGAATCCTTATATCTCGGCAACGGATTGAGATATCGGGATGATTAAAAAACGGATTTCAATGGCATGGTTTTCCCTATATTCTGAGTATATTTTAGTGACAAAATTTTAAATTTTTTCCCACGTTTTTCGATGAAAACTTGAAGTTTCATTTATCGTTTTGTCGCATGAAATGTATATCGAGATAATGTGGCATACGTTTTACATTTTTCCACATATTAATTGACTATTTCAATTCCATAATTGCATAAAAATTCGCAGTCTAATGATTATCACATCAGTCGCGAGTTAAATTATTCCCTTTCCTCATAAAATGTTTTATTACCGATATTTCACTATATTCCTTCTCTACCGTCAACGATTTATAACAAAACTATGTAAAAATTCGGAACTTGTACTTAGGCGAAATTGAACTTCCACCTCTCGTTTCCTTTTTCCGTTTTTACGCGGTTCATAAACGAGACGTTCAAATTTCAGAAAACGGTTCGACGTCGAATAAAAACCCTCCGAGAAATGGTAGAAATAACGTGGAAAAGACGCGTTTCCTTCGTTCTATAGATTCCTTTCGTATAAGAGCTTGAAACGCAATAGAAAATCATGCATGGTGACTGCATCACCTATAAATGATTCTCATCAACCGTTTCACAGATATATATACCGCACAAATGGATATTCTGAAATTTCAAAAATTCCAATATCACTCAAGAGACATTTCGTATAGGAATTTAAAAATAAAGATCTTTCTTTCAACTAAGTCGTTCCAAAACATTCTGTCCCTCCTTTGATTAAATTTTCGCATAAATATTCGCGATCCAATTATTATTCCACTCGATGCACATCTCGTTCCTTGTATTATAATCCATAAAAATCAATTCTCAAAGAAATATCGAGGAAGTCAGAAGTGGGGAGGGAGAAAAGGAAGAGACAGTGGTCAGAAGCTTGTTCCAGATGGAAGATTCTATCGAAGATCAGGAAAGGAAATCGAATTACGTTTCGGTGCAGTTGGCGTGACAAAAGGGACATAAAGACTGATGGAAAACCAGAGACATCTTTGAATTACCGGTTCACCATTTCGTCTATTTACAAGATCGATTATCTTCTCATCAGTGAAACAGCCTTGATGAGAAAATTCGACTTCGAAATCAAGGTAAAAATCATTTTGATTTGACGAAGGGAATGAAGTTTGATTCATTGATTAATCGCCACACACGTATGAATTTGCTAATTTCATGCGAAACAAGTTCATCGAGATTCGAATAATTAGATAGAAACGATTAGAATTTAATGGAACTATTTCATACAATTTTCGACGATTTTTGATGCTTTATCGAAAATAACAATTATCAAATTGTGATTGGACAAGTTTGGAATACGTTTATGAAAATTTAACGGATATGTAAATGAAAGAATAATAATTATAAATTTTGAGGGCAGCGAACACGAGTATTTTATTTGAAGAAAAAATAAAGTTACGTAAAATTTTAAATATTCCGTATTTTTTATAAAATAAATATTGGATTCCCCCCCCCCCCCCCAATATACGATTTCTCAAATATTTATCATCGAATATTTAACCATTTAATAATATTTTTAATGAACTGGAATCCAACTGGAATCGAAGAAAATTCCAACTTGATAAAGTAAAGCAAAATGATCATGGAAAAAGAGTAATAATTAATTTAATATACCATAACCGAAAATTAATTATTATACTCATTAAATGAAATTTATCAAATCGAACATTAAAAGAAATAATGATGGAATGATGTAAACAGCAAATTCTTGAAACAGATAGTCAAGGTATGTTGAACATTTAGAGCCGACCATGCCACGTTGGAATTTCTTAATTGAATACATCATGCGCATCGAATTCCTATGAATATTATATTTATACACGTGAAAATTATGTTAATAATAACTTTAATAAAGAAATTAAAAAAATAATATTTTAATACACGCATAATCCCTCTATTTTTCCCTCATTTTACATACCTTTCCACCTCACATTTAAATAAATAAATAATTTTCCCATCGATCCAACAATATCTTCCTTCCAATCTCTTTTAATCTACTTCCTCCTTTCCTTCTCATCTTATTTTTACCTATCGAGTTACCACACACACACACACACACACACACACACACACGCGATTACCAT